CACGGCCTGTGACCTGTCCATGTCTTTTACCCAAAATACCCCTGACTAAAACTCTACTTCTGTGGCCACGCTGCTCTGGGGGGGCCCTGCCCGGCTGCTACTCCCAGGTACCACTGTCTGGACGGCCTCCAGCCACCCCAGGACCGCTGCTCAGGTGCTCCCCGGGGCCACCCGAGCAGCAGCCAGTGTGGCTGGCCCTGGGCTCCCTACCGCTGCTACTGACTACAGCCTCTAGACAAAGCAGCCACGGACTTCCGCCATTGGGCAACATGGCAGCGGACTCTCACTGTTGGGTGACACGGCCATTGACTACAGTTGCTAGGCAAAGTGGCCACTGACTCTCGCCACTGGGTGACAAAACCAGTGACCCCAATTGCTAGGCAAAGTAGCCACTGACTCTTGCGATTGGGTGATTACTGCCACTGACTCCAGCCAATAGGCGAAGCGACCATTGACTCTCACCACTAAGCGACACAAGCCGGAGTATCACCAGGAGGTGGTACTGCTGGCCTTGGACTCAACCTCCCTTTTGACAGCCCCATTACAATGATCTGTCATCTATGAAGGGCATGTCTACACTTACAGCACTGCAGCGGCTGCAGAGCGTGTGGTCTAGATGGTCTATGCCAATGGGAGGCTGTTCCTGTTTGCTTCATGAGAGCTCCAGTGATAGCCCCAGAACTCTTGAAGTTCTTCTCATGTGTGGGATTTCCTTGCAAAATACTAACAGATCTAAGGGACTAACTTCACCTCCCTGCTGATGTGTGGATTATGCTCCCTTCTGAAGGTCAAGTCCCTGTTAACCTCAGTGTCCCAGCTGCAGACCGATGGCCTAGTAGAGAGGTTTAATAAGACTCTGAAGGGAATGTTGAGTTGCTTTGTTAGTGACAACCCCAGTGGGACCAGCTACTCCCACCACTCCTGTTTGCCATAAAGGAGGTCCCACAAGCCTCTACAGGGTTCTTTGTGTTTGAGTTGCTTTATGGTCGCTAACTGTGAGGAATCCTGAATGTGCCGCAAGAAGGTTGGGAGGAACAGGATGCAGGTGCCTTAAGCACAACCCGATACATCTGACAGTGAGGGAACAACTCAGAAACATAGGGGTGTGCACCACAGAGAATTTGAGAGAGGCCCAACATGCATAGGAACAAAATTATAATAGAGAGGTATGACTACGAACTTTCCACCCGGCTGACTGTGTCCTTCTGCTAATACCCTCAGCTAAGTTTAAGTTAATGTCCTGATGGTGGGGTCCATTTGAAGTGGTCAGGCAGGTACGGCTAGTCGACTATGAGATAAAACTACCTGGGAAGAGAAAAGAAACCAAGGTCTATCGTGAGAATCTTCTCAAACCTTGGAAGACATGGGAGGCCCTGCTGAAAACTCATTCTCCTACAGAACCTGAATTAGGGCCCCTGTATCCAGCAGTCAAGAACCAGCCACAGTACGGGGGGTTAGGGACTCTCCCCTGTGCAAAGGAACCAGCTCCTCTAGTTGATCAAGGACTTTGTGACTGTATTCTTCCCTACCCCAGGAAAATGCAGTTGGTCCAACATCATGTAGCGACCACCCTGGGCGAGCTAGTTAGGGAGAACCCCAGAACTCCAGACCACTGCCAGGGAGGATATGGGATACAGTCTGAGAGGAAGTGGGAGCAAAGTTGGAGATGGGGGTAATTGTGGAATCCAAAAGTGAATGGGGGAGCCCCATAGTGCTCATTCCCAAACCAGATGGTTTGGGTTGGGTGGGTCTGGTTTTACATTGACTGCAGCAAGATTAATTCCATCTTGAAATGTGATGCCTACCCAGTGCCAAGAGTAGACAAGGTACTAGAGTGGCTTGGACTGGCAAAGCATGTGAGCACTATCGACCTAACAAAAGGTTATGGGCGGGTCCCTTTATCTCCCTCCTCACAAGAGAAAACCGCTTTCTCCACCCCTTTTGGGCACTTTCAGTTCAAGACTCTGCCTTTCGGCCTCCACGGAGCTGCCATGACTTTCTAAAGGCTTACGAACAGGATCCTCAGTCCCCACCATCCATACACTGCTGCCTACATAGACAATATTGTTGTCTGTAGTCCTACCTGGGAAGACCACCTGCAGCACTTAAAGGCAGTAATAAAAGCCCCCCAGGACAAGGGATTTACAGCAGCCAACCCTGCAAAATGTAGATTAGCCATAGATGAAGTAATCTATTGGGGTTCTGCGTAGGAGGTGGCCTTATGAAACCAGTGGTTGACAAGGTACAGGCCCTAAGGGGAAATGCCCAATTCCCCCAGACAAAGAGGCAAGCGGGGTGTTTTCTCGGCCTGGCAGACTGTTACCGAAGGTTTATCGCTGGTTTTGTCTCAGTCATGGGCCCCCCTTATGGAACTCATAACTCCAAGAGGATCCAATGGGATGAGAAATGCAAGGAAGCTTTTAGTGACTTGAAAGCACGACTATGCTCTTCAGCCCTGATTTTTCCCAGGACGCCTCGGACGGCGGATTCGGCGCCGTACTCTGACAAGACTTAGGAGGAGAAGAACACCCTATTTCCTAGAGAAAAGGCTTCCTCAGCTATTGAAAAGGAGGCATTAGTGATTAAATGGGCTGTGGATTCCCTCAGGTATTCCCTGTTGGGTAGCCCCTTCCCCGTGAGCACAGATCACGCACCCCTGTGCTGGATCCACACCATGAAAATTGCAAACCCGCATATAATGCGATGGTACCTTGGGCTACAACCCTCTAGCTTCAGAGTCCAACACTGGGTGGGAAAGGACCATGCTGATTTCTTTTCACAGGAGATCGGGGATGGAGACAAGCTGCACCCAGAGCAGCCTTTCCAACTTGAGAGGTGAGGTATGTGAAGGGACATGCCCTCACTCTAGTGGAGAAGGGGCTAACGAGCTCTTCTGGGCCTGTTCACACTAACGAGAGGCACCTGTATGGCTTACTCTGCTTGGAGTGTGTGTGTGTGTGTGTGTGTGTGGGGGGGGCTTATGAAGGGAAATCCTGCCACAGGAAGGGGCAGCAAACAGGAGGGGGGGCTGGGCTGCCACACTTTGGAGACTGCTGACCATGAGACAGATCAGCCAAGAGGGAGTCAGTCGTAGGCCTCACGGTCCCCGAAACCCCACGGACCAGCTGCAAGCAGGACACCCAAGAGGAGGGGCTGGACGTAGACCCGCCGATAGGCCAAGCCCAAAGAGCTGAATTCAGAGAGACTGCCTCAGAGCCAGGCCATCTTGGCCTTTCTTTTCTTTCATTCAGATTCCCCGCTCTCATAAGGGAGCGAGAGAGGAAAGGACCTTTCTTTTGTCTGTTTCACTTAGAGAACCCCTCATATGCTATGAACTGGGGGGACCGACATTATAAACAACATGAAGCGGGGTCTGGAGGAGACTCCCTCTCCCAACCCCCCCACGTGACACTGTCATTATCTTTCCCCGACCTGAAGAAGCGCTCTGTGTCGCTCGAAAGCTCGTCTCTCTCACCCATAGGAGTTGGTCTAAGAAAACATATTACTTCATCCCCCTTGTCTCTCTCATATCCTGGGACCAACCCAGCTTCAACAACACTGCATGCTACAGGAGGCACGTTTTTCCTGACCCCTCGATGCTATGGGCCAGATTTTCAAATGAACTCAGCTTCCTACAGTTCCCATTTAGGCACCTAACTCGAAATGGCTAAATATTCAACACGAGTCCCTGTCCAATGTCTTACTGAAGTTGGTGGGAGTTCTTCCATTGTCTCCAGTGGGCTTCGGCTCAGTCCCCGGTGATGTTAGAGGATGTGCAGCATGATAAGGGTGGTGTTGGTGTTTCGTTGGTGGACCCCGTTGCAGCCGTAAGGTACATAGCATGGGAGAGGTTATTTGTAAAATGTTTGTCCTTTGCTGGGATCATCACAATCTGGCCAGCGGAACCTTGAACTCTTACAGAAACAACTTGGTGCAGAGCCACAATTCTGTTTGTCAGTCGTGACCCAGCTCTGCTGTCCAGAGTAACACAGAAAAGGAGGAGGAGTGTGCTAGGGCTTGCATCAATAGACCTGCTGGAAATGTGTCCTTCAGAAAACCGCACTAGGTCTATATCCGATCCTGTGGCTGCTCAATATAGTCACGCTCCAGCATCACTTGTATATTTAAAGAGAACAGCCTTCAACACACATTCTGTCTGTCCAACTGTTTATTCCACTCATATCTCTAAGGGCTGGTCTACACTACCGCTTAAGTCAATGTAACTTACGTTGCTCAGGGGTATGAAAACGACACCCCTCACTCCCCCCCCCCCACTGCTGTAAATTACATCGACTTACAGTAGTGTCCACACCGTGCTATGTCGTGGGAGACACTCTTCCACCAACATTGCTTCCGCCTCTCCCGTCGGCATAGCGTATTTTCTCCAGACACGCTACAGAGGCACAGCTGCATTGGTACAGCTGTGCCAATGTAGCGCGGTACTGTAGACTTGCCCTGAGACACAGGAATTCTGTGGCGGAGCAGGGACTTGCACCCAGGATTCACATGTCCTAGGCTAGTGCCTAATGTCTAGACTTTCCTTCCTTTCTCTTCTTAAACCTTTAGAATTAGATCAGTGTTCGGATCCAGGTTCTTTTGGGTCTAACTCCCCCACATGTGTGGCTAAACCCCATGCTTTGCTTTGAAAATCCCAACCAATGCTTTCTGGTTGCATCCATTTTGCTGAGGCTTCTGCCTTCAGAAGCCAGTTAAAGTCATGACAAGTTAAACTTTTGTGTGTCTTGGTTTTATTTGCTGTGGCAATGCTAACAGACCCTTTACTATTGCACGTGAAGGGTGGAAAGTAATTAGTGGGTTACGAAGTTCATGCTTGAAGTTTAAAAACATAATTCATTAGGCTGACATGAGCATGGAGCATGCAACAACATTTCATGTTGTCTTAGCTGATTATTTTTTTGAGTCACATTGGGTTTAAACATTAACTTCAGCCCATGTAAAAAAAGCTACCATGCTACACTCCAGCATTAGACAAGCAAACAATGACAGACTTTGGAGATATTATCAATGCTATAGGAGATTTGGGGCCATTTCAAAAATGGCTGGTGCTGATGCTCAGCCTTGCAAACTTTCTAACGGCTTTTCCCATGTTTGGCCAACTGTTCATGGTTCTGGATGTGCCTCATCACTGTAAGACAAGCTGGATCTATGCCATTAGCCCAAACCTGACTGAGGAACAGCAGCTGAACCTAACTATCCCTAGGAACACACAGGGATCGTATGAAGAATGCCTTATGTACACTCCTGTGAACTGGGATATTGACTCCGTCATAGAATACGGCCTTAATGTCACTAAGACGTGCCAGGAGGGGTGGGTCTATTCTTCAGAACAAAACCCAACGTTGGTGACTCAGGTTTGTAACTGCATTTTGAGTCTATATTTATTGCTAAGGATCATGCTGATTTGAAAGTGTACACGCACACTGGGGATTGTCTCCACATAATGGATATGCTGGATTTTAAATCAATTTAAACCAGCCCAACTGTGTGGATGCACATAGATTGGTTTACAGTTGAATTATATTGATTTAGCTTAGTCTGGTCATTTAAATGCCCTTTTTTTGTTAAACAAATGCAGCTATTAGGTGTAGACCAGCCATTAGTGTTTGCAGTTTGCGAGCAGCCAGGCAGAAAGGAGAGAGGAAGCATTGTTCAGTGGTTAGAGCACTTCTAGCCCATGGGGGATCTAGCTACAGTTCCTCCTCTACTGCAAACATCTGGTTTGACCCAGTGCAAGGCACTTACACTCTCATTTGCAGTGTAGATGCATCCTAATTGTAGCATAGGTAAGCATGTCTGCACTAGCTTTAGTCTAACTAGTGCGTGTAGCAGTAGTAGTGAAGAAGTGGTGGCCTGGGCTAGGAGCTCCAGTACAAGACCATGGGGGAACCTGGATATGTACCCGGGTTGCTGTGGGTCCATGCCACCACATCTTCACTGCTTTTGTTACCGATGTTAGCTAGATTAAAGCTCTCATGGGCATGGCTACCCTGGCTACAGCTAGACCTTAATTTTCAGTGTAGACGTACTCTATGCCTCAGTTCCCCATCTGCATGTAATGGAACAAAAGCACATCTCACAGGGGTGTGGCGTGAGGCTACATCTATTAAAGCTTGCGAGGTGCTCAGATAGCATGGAGATGGGGCTGTGTAAGTATCATAGATAGATAGATGGAGCCAGTGGTGGTTTTCAGCTTGTCTCTGTTGTCCTTGCACAAATGCCCATTGCAGGAATGAAGCTGTATGTTAATCATGCCCACGATTTCCGTGACACAAACTGTGACTTCTAGGATTTTTCAGAAACAGTCGTGGGCTCTGTTGTTGCTTTTCTTTGTGCAAGGATGTGTAGGAGATCCGTCAAACTATGTAACTGAAGAATTGGGCTTTACCAAAACAAGAGAGACTAGCCAGAGCCTTGTAAAATCTATACCTGTAAGTCCGTGTTTGTCGTCTTTACATATTTTCCTATATGCACAAACTATTGATGGCAGCTATATAACATTTTTCTAATGGAAAGTCCATTGAGTAATAATTAGAATATTATACGCTCTGGCTTTTCCTTTTCTAACTAAAATGATGAACGTTGCTTTTCTCCGTGACAAAGCAGAAAAAGGAGGAAAAGGAAGAAAGAGAGAAGCTTAACAATTTTGAACAGAATTTTGGATAAACAAACCATGGGTACTTTTTGAAATCTTCAAAAAAGAACATTGTTTTTCCAAAATACATGTTGAGGTTGCTTTTGGTTTTTGACCAGCTCTGCTTGTTATCGTGTTAACAAATGCAGGACGCTCAGGAAAGAGCAACTGAATTGGATCTGGGGGCTGAAGGTGTCGGCGGAGAGTCCAAAAGGGAAATGAAAGAGAGAGAGAGAGAGAGAGAGAGAGAGAGAGAGAGTGTTTTATGCCTCCCTGAAGGGGTCTAACACCAAGAAGGGAGAGGAACTATTTATTGTGGCACTTATTGTAGCAGTGTAATGAGGGGTATCGGGATGAATTTATGGAAGGTTGAATATTGGGAAAAGCTCTGTGACAATGAGATCTCTTGTGATGGGATAGTTTCTCCACAAAGCCCCATTGCTTGGGGTAATCCTGCAGTGAGTGGGAGAGGGACTGAATGGTCATGTACGTCTGTTCTATTTGGAGTTGTATTACTTATGAACACATCAGAGCCTCTCAGGCAACCCTAGATGCTGACGTGGGTGGAGCTGTAATAGGTGAATGGTGGTTTTGGCATTATAGGCCGTGTACCTTAATCTCCAGTTCTCTCTGGGAATGTTTGTGCTGCTAGCACGTCATGAATCCAGCCATCAAAATAAAGCTCCTTTAAAATGAAACCTACTTTGTTTCCTTCTTTCAGTTTGACCTGGTATGTGACCGAAAAGAGCTAAATGACATCTCCCAATCCATTTACATGCTGGGACTTCTCCTTGGAGCTGTGGTCTTTGGTTCCTTAAGTGACAGGTAAAGAGAGAGACAATCCACGTGCAGTTACCTGTGCAAAGTCAGCAGCATAACCTGGCTTGGGGGCGTATTGCATAGCGCCTCGGGGTAAAGGCTGGTGAGGTTATAACACTGGAGCCCTGCTCCCTAGGCCCTGACACTGATGTGCCCTGGAGGCTAGATGTGGCTTCCCTAGAGATGGAGTGCAAGGTATAAGCATCAGCCACTGTGCGTGGGGCGGTGGGGTGTGGGGGGAGTGGGACAGGAGGGTTGAAGCAGAACTGGGTGGAGGGCTGGATTGGGGAAGGGGGTTGGAGCGGAACTCAGGGGTTCTGGATCAGAGCTTGGGAGGCTGTGGAAATTGATATGTGCCAGGCTTGTTATCCCAAGGGGAAGTCTCTGACACACTGCAAACCAAACGCACTGCTTCAGGTAGAATAAACAAACCGATTTATTAACTATAAAGGTAGATTTAAGTGATTATAAGTCAAAGCATAACAAGTCAGATTTGGTCAAATAAAATAAAAGCAAAACGCATTCTGAGCTGATCTTAACACTTTCAATGTCCTTAAAAACTTAGCAACAGAGGGTCCTGTGGCACCTTTAAGACTAACAGAAGTATTGGAGCATAAGCTTTCGTGGGTGAATGCCCACTTCATCAGATGTCTGTTAGTCTTAAAGGTGCCACAGGACCCTCTGTTGCTTTTTACAGATTCAGACTAACATGGCTACCCCTCTGATACTTAAAAACTTAGATGCTTCTCACCACAGTTTGGCTTTTCAGTCAGGCTCTCCCCTTTGATCAGCATTTCAGTTGCTCGGTGGTGGTGGTGTCTGTAGATGGAGGTGGAAGAGAGAGAGCATGGCAAAATGTCTCTCCCTTTTATCATGTCCTTTCTTTCCTCTTGGCTTTGCCCAATGCTCTCCCCCCCCCCCGCCCTGCCCCTTCAGAGTCAGGTGAGCATTACCTCATCGCAGTCCCAAACTCCCCAAAGGAAGGGGGTGACTCCCTCGAGGGTCTAACAGATTCTTTCGTTGCTGCCTAGGCCAGTGTCCATTGTTCCTGTGAGGCTGGGCTGGGTTTGTCCCATGCCGTGACGAGGTATGAACTGCCTCTCTCTTCCTGGAGAGTTTTTTGCCTGGGCTTGCTTTAAGCCCCGAGGATACATATTCAGCCTCATAACTATACACATGAAATTATAACCTATAACCTCACTATAACATGACTGTAACAATTACTATAACATCACTATAACAACCATGCTCAGTGCATTCTGAGCCTTCCGAAGACACCCGACATGACAAACTTTGCACTGGATACCACACAATCATTTTATAAAGATGAACATGGCGGTGTAGGGTGTCCCCCCGAGGTACAGAGTGTCACAGGGAGGGATGGATTGGGGCCGTGGAGGAACTAGGCAAGATTGGGTGGATGGGAGGGTTGGACTGGGGCCGTGGGGGAGCTAGGCAGGAAGTGCGGGATGGGAGGGATGGATTGGGTCTGTGTGGGGGTGTGTGGGCGGGGGGGGGGGGAGGGGGGGGCGGGGTGGGGGTGTGGGGGAGCTGGGCAGGAGGTGGGGGACGGGAGGGCTGGATTGGGGCTGTGGAGAGATCTGCAGGAGTGCGGGAAGCTGGACTGGGGTGGATTTCAGAAATGGAAATGGAGCCCCTAACCTATTCTTGCACCAGGGCTCTGTGGGACCTTGCTTTGCCACTGCTGCGGGAGGACATTGTCTGAATTTCTTCCTACCCCAGCCCTAGCCATGTCAGTCTCACTTGTCTCCTCACAATTCCCTTCTGCCCACTCTTCCTCAACCCCATTCTTCTACTTGTGCTCCCGTCCTTCCCAAAGCAGGCCAAATGCTCACTGCTCTGGCCCTTTGTTATCTTAGTTTTATTATTATTTACTGCTGAAGATGCACTGTGCCATACAAATAAAACTCAGCCCCTGCCCTAAAGAGTTTAGCTTCTCTAAGACAGGAGGATGCAGAGGGTAACTCAGAAGTGGGGCGAACTGAACGTGTGTCTGATGGAGGGGATGATGTTGTAAATATAATCTATGCATCATTCTCTCCATTTTATAGATGGAGAAACTGAGGCACAGACTGGTGAAGTGACTTGCCCAAGGTCATCCTGCCTGTCACAGAGTCAGGAATAGAACGCAGGGCTCCTGATTGCCAGTCCAATGCTCTGTCCCCCAGGCCCCACTGCCTCCAGTGCCTCAAGTTTTGGGTGACCAGCTTGACACACCTTAAAGGGGCCTTTTAAAGGTGTCCCACCCTGGGCACTCAAAGTCACTTGTCCAGGGCCGGTGCAAGGAAGTTTCGCGCCATCCTGCGCCACCTCCCCACCACGCTCACCCCGCCCCCCCCCCGACAGCTAAGCACCCCCCCCCCACCTCCCCACCAGAGGAGCCCCCCCTCTGCAGCTAACTCCACCCAGGGAGCCCGCCCCAGCTCACCTCCGCTCCGCCTCCTCCGCTGAGCATGCCAGCGCTGCTCTAATTCTCCTCCCCTCCCAGGCTTGCAGCGCCGATTGGAGGAGAGTTAGAGCGGGGGCTGTGTGCTCAGTGGAGGAGGCAGAGTGGAGGTGATCTGGGGCGGGGAGCGGTTCCCCTGTGCGGCCCCCCCCGTTACTGCGGGCAGCCCTCCCCGCGCCACCCCCCGCCCCAGCTCACCTCCACTCCATCTCCTCGCCTGAGCGCCCTCAACCACTAGGCGCCCTAGGCGGCCGCCTAGTTCGCCTAGTGGTTGCATCGGCCCTGCATTTGTCACTTCTGATAATCTTGGCCAGAACTCGGATGTTGCAGCAATCCCACTTTAACATTATTTCTTAACACTATATCAACCAACTAGTGTATCTAGCCAAGTTCTTACATTGATGACTATCACTACAGTATCCAGGTGCCTCAGCTGCTGTATTAGGAGTGAAAGCTGACAGTAGTCTCAGAGATTTACGAAAACATTTCCTCCCTTAGGATTGGGCGGCGTCCCATCATTTTGCTTTCCATGCTTATAATGGGGGCGTTTGGTGTTGGAGCAGCTTTTGCGCCAAATTTCTATGTCTACATCGTCTTGAGATGTCTTGTGGGTGCTGCTGTATCTGGAATCTTTATAGGCATCCTGGCTTTAGGTAAGACTCCCTCACTGCTAGAGATGTTTTAGCTACACAGTATAAGTGCTCTCACAAACAGCAATGAAAAGATCCCATGGACAAATGCTCAGTGCAATTACATGCTACGTTTTAAAAAATTTACTACCAAATGAATGTTGCCTGAAATATGGTGGGCCTGATCTTCCTCTCACACTGGGGTAAATCAGGAGTAATCACATTAAAGTCAGGAGAGTGACACCAGTGAAGGAAAGAGGAGAATCTGGCCTGGGTATTTACCTATTTGGTGGGAGGTAGGCAGAAAGCATAGGAGCTTTTAGTTGGAGAATGTGAAATGTTGGTTTATTTGTGCTCAGTTTGTCATTAATATCTCCAGTGGTGCAAGTAGAAATCATTTCTTGCTGGTACTGCACTCATGGGAGGGACACAAGGCGGGGCACGTGACCTCCCCAAGTGACCCTCCGTGTGACTCCTCCCCACCCCGCCCCAGCTTGGGGCCCCCACACTCTCCCCTTCCCCTCCGACACCCCCCTTACCTGTCTAAAATTTTACAACTGCATCTGTTAAACAGATTCCCTACCTCTCAGCAGTACTGAGAGGTAGGGAATTATTAGTTATTATTATTATTATTATTTATACCCATTTTACAGATGGGTAAACTGAGGCCCAGAGATTATGGCAGAAATTTTCAAAGTTACCAGTGAATCTTGAGTGCCCAACAAGAGTCAACTTAAAGAGGCCCAAGTTTCAAAAAGTGCTGAGCACACAGCTTCTGAAAATCAGACCCCTTTAAGATGACTCTGACTGAACTTTCAGAAATGGAAGCCCCTAAAGTCACTAGTCAGTTTTGAAAGCCTGGGTGTATGTGACTTATCTAAGGTCACCCAGTGGCCAAATCCCAGAGTACTGACTCCAGAGCCTTTGCTCTAGCTACTAGATAACATTCCCCAAATGAAAGCTGATCTAGTTTGGAATTGAAAAAAAAATCCTTTAAATGTTGTTGAATCATTAGGGTTCTCAGCAGTTCAATCTGTGTTAATGTCTCTAGGTACTGAATGGGTTGGAGTCCCCTACCGGTCACATGCAGTAATGGTTACCCACTGCTGCTTTTCCATTGGACAGATGGTGTTGGCTGGCTTAGCTTATGGCGTTCACAACTGGAGGTTGCTGCAGATTGCTGGATCTGCCCCTGTATTTTGTCTTTTCTTTTACATATGGTAAGCGTGCATTTGCCAGAGAGCTTTTCTCAAGCATTGCAGTGTTATTTGTGATCCAGGTTATACACGGGCTTTACAGAGTGGATTCATCTACACATTGCAGGGTTGGTCCTTCCCAATATAGCCCATATCTTGTAAAGGTTTATACATAGTTAATGGGATCTGCTGGGCCCCCAGCATTTTTGACTGTCAGGCCACTTTTATGTAGGTGCCTAACTTTAGACACCAAGTTTTGAAAATCTTGGCACTACAGTAACATTATTTCTATTGAAACAAAACAACCCATATACTCACACCCAAGCCATAGCGCCTCAGAAGAATTACATCTCCCATAGTAAACACACATCATCAAATATATTTTACTACTATGGAAGATGCATCAAGTGGATGAAGTTAAGTGGGCAACTGGGGTTTTGATAGCAAAGAACTCTTTGGAATTCACATGCTTTGTAGGGTCCTTCCAGAATCTGCTCGGTGGCTCATGACAAAAGAGAAGGTAAAGGAAGCCAAAAAACTACTTCAAAAGGCAGCATCTGTGAATAGACGGACCATCTCTCCAGAACTGCTTGATCAGGTAATAAATCCTGAGATGGGGGGTGTTTGCAAAATATATTGTATGCAGGATTCAGAGACCTATTTTTTGGGGGGTAAAACAGAGATAAATATTTATATAAGTGGATAAAATGCTTTAAAATGTTTTTAATGACTCTTGTGCTGCCTATAAATAACCCTTTACTGTGTTCCAGTACTGAACATCCAGTTTCAGGCCTTATTGTTTGTGTTATATAGACCATAAAAAAAGTTTTCTTGATAAGCAACTCTTAGGGGAATTTCTCTTTCTGTCTTCTAGCAAACAACCCAAAATACAGGGGGTTGGGGGGGGGGGAGATTTTCAAAAGCACCTAATGGATTTAGGTGCACATGTCTCAAGTCAGTGGGACCGCTGTGTCTAAATTCCTTAAGAATTTTTTTAAATCTCCCCCTAGAAACAGAATTATCCGAATATTCTCGAATCTCATATGAGCAAACAATCCTCACTTGTGAATTCATCTTATTTTCTTGTGCTCAGAGAAGCCCCTACTATTTTCTCCTGTTTACCAAAAGTGGGGAAGAGAACTTCAGAGGTTGCGTTCATATGATGTGCCGTTTGCATAAGGGAGTGACTGCATTGTCCCTTAAAAGTCCTGCAAATCATTTCTTCTGGGTGGAATTTTGGCCAAAAAATTAAAAATTCTGTGCACAGTACTTTAAAATTCTGCAAAATTCTGCTTATTTTATTTGTCAAAATAACACAATATAATCACATCACTTTCAATTATTTTGGTAATTTACTTCAAAATTCCTGTCAGCAAATATGTCTGTAACAATACAGACAACAAAAAGATCCTCCCAGGAATAGAAAGTTTAAAGGAACCCCTACAACAACCCAGTTCCTGTTTGTCTGTTATGCTTTTGTTGGGTGCATCAATCTGGGTGTGTCACATGCACCAGCTGGGCACGTCTTGGGGGAAAACTTGGCCCTTCTGGTCTCAGACAACTGCACCCTTTACCTCCCAGAGCCCAGCCATGCCTCACCACAGCCCAGACACCCACACCCACTACACTCCAGAGCCAAGCCGCAGGACGCCCTCCCCCCAGACACCCACAATCCCCCCCCAGGGATCCAGAGAGTACAGAGTTTCCTGCATGCCGCCTCCTTCCTTCAGGACATGCTGGGAACTGCAGCTTCCCAGAAACCTCCAGTTCCTCCTTCCCCTCTCCCCTCCCCTGCCCTCCCCCTCCCAGTGCCCTGTATTTGCGAGCTGGAGAGCCAGACTCTGTTGGGTCCAGCAGTCCCTTGGGCAGCCAACAGCTCTGCAGCACCAATTGTGTGGGGGGAGAAATGAAATTCTGAGCAGAACATTAGTTCTGTGCAAATTCTGCATTGCACAGTGATGCAGAATTCCCCTTCCATTGCACTTGGCAAAAAATTAATGGCTGGCCATGTTGAACACCATGGTCACCAGCCAAACCATGCATGTGTGATATCAAAGGACCCAGGACCTTCTGTTGAAACAACAGAAAGGAACAGTAAATAAAATGGCAATGACTGATTCATGTCATTTTGCTGGACGTAGAACTGTGTCAATTTTTATTCCTTTATTGATCGTAGCCCCTCGGAGAATGTAACTTATATGTTGTATTTTCTTTCATGTTACTGTTTCCGTAGCACCAAGAAGCCCTGATTAAGATCAGGCCCTGTTCTGCTAGGTGCTGTCCAAACACATGGTCCCTCCCCCAAGAGCTTACTATCTAATAAAACAAGTCACATGCTAAAGGAGGGGAATAGGGGTACAAGTTTTATATGCATATATACATAGCCCATTGGTTAGTGTCAGCAAGCTGTGACCAATCCACAGAGAATATGAACCTGTTTCATGAGTAGGTAAAAAGGCTGGATCTTTAGTTCAAGCTGTAGTGGCTCGTGCTTTTAGTTATGGAGGTCCCAAGTTCCCAAGCTTTGAGCAGGGGGTTGGACTAGATGACCTCCTGAGGTCCCTTCCAACCCTGATATTCTATGATTCTATGAATTCCTTGTGTTGGCCAAATGGGGGTGGGAGCTTTATACCTACATTTGCACTTTGTTTCAATTATTGTAAATAAAGTTAATGTTAGCTATCCCCACCTGGCCTTCAAGCCATTAATAACTGGATGATTCCATTTAGATGCCATGGCAGAGGCTGGGTCTTAATGAGGAGAGGGAGTGGCCTTTGCAGACCAATCCAGGGAGGGCATTCTATGCCAGGGCACAGTATGGAGATGTACGCAAACGATGAACTTTTTCGTAAAACCCCCATAACACTTTTACATTTTAATTCTAAATGTAAGAAGGATTTTTAACTTCTCCCAGATTCAAAACTGTCATTTATTGATATCACCTGATTTTATTTTGGGTATGAGCTGACATGGTCCCACTAGTGTGCAGCCGTGTGACTTTGTCATTTGCTGGATACAGCGTTAAGCTTGGTCAAGTGCACAGGACTGTTGCCCTCTAGTGGTTGGCTGAGAAAGGATGAAATCCTCAGTCACAAGTGACGGCTAATGGAAAGAATTCACCTTTAGCTCATATGATTGAGGGCTATGTTTCTGAAATCCTGGATTCTGTCCTTGAATCAGGAAGTGCACAGTTCAGCTGGGGCCTGCAGTGCCTATTTGTGCCCATGGGTTTGTTGCAACTCCAGCAGATGATTAATAAGAATAAATTGAATTATGCAGATATAGCACATAAATCTTACGTGGGTCACTGTTGCAGCTGGACACAAAATCAGTGCCTGACACAAAGGGCTTACGGCCTAACAAAAGTAAAGGAGCAAGAAAGACAATGCGCAAGATGAGACAGAACTTACACAAAGTGGCCATTAGAGCTCAAATGCTTCATGAAACAGGTGGTTATTGAGGTATTGCTTGAAGTTCAAAGAACTGGAATCATACCAAGGGATGTGGTGGATTCTTCCATAATTTGAAGTCTTTAAAGCAATATGGAAGACATTCTAAAAGACATTCAAGTTTGATCATGACTCCTGGACTTCATGCTAGAATTACTGGCTAAAACTCTATGGCCTGTGTCCTACAGGAGGTCAGAGTAGAAGATCATAATATTCCCCTTCTGCTCTGGAAATCTGTGGACCATAGTCAAAGTTCCTATATGGAGTTGCAGTCATGTCTCCATAGTGAACCTTGTTGGCAATTTTCTGACACACATGTTTTTTTTCCATCCGAAAATTCTGATTTGTAGAAACCAAAACATTCCACAGGAATGGTCTATTTTCAACAGAATTCTGACAGAAACCAGGCAGGTTTCTGATGGGACCCTGCCTGCCAGGCAGGTTTCAACGCCAGCTTAGTTTCCTGCCAGCTTGCCTGCCTGGTTCCTTGGCAGCCTGCCAAGCACAATGCCATAGAATGGGGGCTTCCAGGGTCTCCGGCTCTGGGGCAGCACATCAGACTGGCTGATGATGAGTGAGGGCTTCTAGGCTCCCAGCTCTTTGGCAGCCCCAAAACCTTGGGAGACCTGGCTCCTAGGCGCTGGGCAGCTTGGAGAGCCTGGGAAACATTTAGAAAAGGTCAAAATGAAACTGTTGTTTTGGGATTTCTGATCCACAGGAGATTCTGAAATTGCGGTTTTCATTCCATTTCAAACTATTTTTTGTTGCTGTTGAAATTTTGGAACTTACCATGGAACAGTCATTCCAGCTTCCAGCTGGCTCTACTCAAGGCTGTATATTGTAGAAAGCAGATCAGGGGAAAGAACAACATTTTAGCCCATTCTCAGGCTCTCCCTATTCTGTGGTCCATCTATGGTGTCCAAACACATTGTACATAGGCTCTCAAGCCATACAATGACTCTTCAGAAGTTTGCTCAAATGCCATGGAATTTGTTGGATGTTTCAGTGCTTCTTCTCTTTATCGCATTGCAAAACAACAAACAAAAACCAAAGCCAAACACCAAACCCAACATTTCTACCACATTTTCCCAAAACTCACTTGTCAGAAAATGTTCTTCGTGACCAAAACATTGCAGTTGGAAAAACAGACTTTGGTCATGTAAATCCAGCATGTTGTGTACTGTAGTGCTCTACCTTTCATAACCAGAAGACTTTTGAGGTCCCATTCACTTCCCTGACGTTGGTGAAAGTCTTCAGTATGAGTTGGATTCATGTCTTGACCCTTTTGCCTTGTGAATTTTGAAGCTGACGCCTGAGAAGAAGGTTAAGTCTGGAAATATTCTGGATCTTTTCCTGAAGAAGCGCCTGAGGAACGTGACTTTAGTTATGGCTTATGTCTGGTAAGTTGTCCAAACATTACTCCATTTTTATAACAGTGTAATAGTCCTCACTTGGGGTATGGTAGGGAAGCGTGGCCTAGTGGTTAAGGCTGCACTCCATGACTGGCCGGGCGGTTGTGGGGAGGAGATTACCAATGTCCAGGATCCACAGGCAGGGCAAGAGGGATACTTCCCTCTGATTGTTTCTCTGGTGGGTCCTCCCTTTCCTCAGGGAGGGCCCCTTTGGGCAGCTGTGTCAGAGACTTTAGGCTTCCCTCTGCTCTGCACTACTGGAGCTGTGGGCTACAGGTCTGCTCTCTTCTCGCTCTGTGGCCCAAATGAGCTGTTTCCCTGTCTTTTAATTGCTCCAGCAGATGGAGCATTTGCTGCAGGTGTGGCGGGGTGGGGCTGACAGGGCCCAAAATAATTCTTTAACCCCTTGTTGCCCAGTGTGGGGTTTGTATACCCCATCACAAACAGCTATTTAAAAAACTAAGGGACTTTTGTGTGTGCAGATTTGGTGCATGGAAATTTTGTAGTCACTTAATGAGCTTTCATCTGACCCTACTCACCTTGTGAGATCTCCCAAGATCACAGCCCAAACCTATACAGTTGTAGCAATGACAAATTAAAAGTGCCAGTGCAGAGGTGGCTAGTGGGTATTTCTCATCCCTATGGAAACTAGGATCCTCTAGGCTAACCACACTCAGCGATAAATACACTCTGCTCTGCTTTGCTTTCAGGTTTGTGAACAGCCTGGTGTACTATGGCCTGAGCCTTAACGTGGGGAGTTTTGGCTTGGACATTTACCTGACGCAGCTTGTGTTCGGGGCTGTTGAAATACCAGCTCGCTTCGGCTGCATCTTCCTGCTGCAGTGGTTTGGGAGGAAGAAATGCCAGGGCGTCTTTCTGCTGCTGGGCGGAGCCATGTGTCTCATCATCACCCGCATCCCCAAAGGTACACAGCAAGTCCCTGGAGTGCAGCCAACCTACCCGGTACCTGGAGCAGTCGAGTCCCAGACACGTTCCTTTGTACTCCATTTTCTTTCCTTCCATAGCTCAGCTGACTGGGGCCCTCTCTATTGGCTCCTAACACTTGCTTTCAATGCCTGAGCCACCTTTTCTGGAGATGGCACCTGACTGGCCAATGATCAGCTGAATTTTCTCAGTGTTACTTTTTTCTCTCTCCGGCTCTTTAAAATTCCCCCTTGCTTGCAAGCAAGCTCCATTGAACAACATTGTGTTCCTGCTTCATCCTTAAGCAATGCTTGGGGTTCATTGCATAGCCAGAGATTTCAGTAGTGACAAACAGTTGCCTGGGTAGATTAGAAAATCTGAATTCCCCTGGGCTAGTTACCTGTCACGGTTTTCCAAATAAAGGACATTCAAGGAAAGCTTTTCAAAGGCACAATGGCAGTTTTGCGCACCGCTCCTTCTGAAAGTCAATTGGAAGTGGGAGCGTCTAATTCTCATATGTACCTTTTGAAAATCCCCTTCTGAAGTAGCAAGTATCATCATAAATTCAATCCTAGAGTAACTCTGTTGAAGTCAGCTGCGGGCGGAACTTGATTGATTGCACCAGTGTGAGTCACTGCACCTCTCTATCTGGCTTCTAGAAAGTCTACAGCGTAAATTATCTTAAGTAACTGTCTAAGGGAACTGCTGCAACTGATCATCTAATAACGGTTTGCCTTTAATTGGCAGTTGGCTGACGTTGCACTGGAAATACTTAGTCCTAATACTTACTCCTGCCATGAGTGCAGGGGACAGGACTAGATGACCTCTCGAGGTCCCTTCCAGTCCTATGATTCTATGAAACCTTGGGGATTCTGTAAAATGTGGCTCTGGTCTGACAAGGGACTGTGTACAACTGATTCCTTCTTAACCCATGGATCGGCTCTCTGCATGCATCTCAAGTTGTATTTACTGACTTCAATTCCCTAAAATTTCATCGCTGTTAGCTCTGCAGATCCAGTTTGGCTGTGGGAGCTGGATTCTAATCTGACTCATAAATCATCCGTGGAATTACAAACATTCGATTGCAGGGTCAAATTCTTCCCTTCACTTTGCAGATTTCACCAAGGGCCTAATCTGAAGGTAGTGGAGCTGCACAGGTGCCATCGAGGGAGCAATGTGAAGACAGTGGGGTAAATGAGTACATATAATCTTAAGGCAATGGGGCTACACAAGTGTAACTGAGGGCGTAATCTAGTCTGTGGCACCTTTGATTAATGCTTACGGTGATCAGAAGGAAAAAAACTCAGTTTACCTTTCAGAATCCAGGGTGAGTTTGTAGGGCTGGCAGTTAGGGCCAAAGGTCTTTGCACTTGGTACCCTGAGTGCATTTGATCAGTGAGGTACAATAAACGTGGAGATGCCATGTGTACAGAGTCACTTTTCAGAGCAGAACCATCCTTTGTCCCTGGTTATGGTGATGCCCATTGGAGGTGGGCTCCTTAGTGGAGCTCTCACCATATTCTGTACATGTATAATAGCTTTTCTTCCTGGCAGATGTATGTGGAGCTGCACAAACTGAGCAAACTCCCCATATAAGCTTTGTATAAAAGCTTCTCCTTTTGCCACTAGATTTGCCGGTGGTGGTCACGACGCTGGCAGTGATAGGGAAGTTTGCCATCGCGGCCTCTTTTTCTATCTCCTACGTGTATTCTGCAGAGCTGTTCCCCACCATCATCAGGTGAGGTGTCCTTACTTTTCATGCTGCCTTAGCCCAGGAACTGGGTTTAATACAAGCTTTTAATATGGTAACAGAGGATTTGGATAAAGGCCTGCTGAAAGAATATTTTCTTCAATAGATCATTGTGATCAGAAGCTCTGTCCGTGCTTACAGGTCCGTACAACAATTCCTGCCTGTTTCCCAACTCTAGAAAGGACAGGGGTCAATGGCCAGGTTTTGATGTGGTCCTTGTTAAGGCTCTGGAGTAATGGTTTTGGATTGAGACAAGATACCAGACTGGGTGACCACCAGGGCCGCCCAGAGGGGGGAGCAAGTGGGGCAATTTGCCCCGGGCCCCACAGGGGCCCCCACGAGAATATAGTATTCGATAGTATTGCAACTTTTTTTTATGGAAGGGGCCCCCAAAATGGCTTTGTCCCAGGCCCCCTGAATCCTCTGGGAGGCCCTGGTGACCACATGCATCCTTTACTGCCTGAGACACAACATGGCCTAGTAGCATGAGGACTGAGCTGGCTATTTTCCTTAAAATCAGAATCCACGTGGTGCTTTTTTCTCCCCTCTACCCACGGGTGGTTTATGTTTCATCAATTACTTTTTTTTGGCAAATGCCTTTCTTTGGCTACTAATATGCCCTATTCCTAAAGCCACTCATTTTTAGCGGAAAGGTCAATAATCAATTACACTTAGTGATCAAGAATTCACTGAATGAGGACCTATGGTTGCTTTTAAGCAGCTTTCTCCAAACATTGGAGCCCCATCTATGCTATAGCTTTTTCTAATGATAATGCAAAGATGGGAGATTTCCCCCAAAATTATAAAGGTTAAAGATCCTAAGTTCTCCTCTAGCACTACCTACAATTGTGGAAGGTGCCGGTGGGGTGCTGATCAAGGCTTGGACTGGGATTTTCCCAAGCTGTCGACTAGAACAAGGATCTAAACCCCTGGAGACATGCCCATAAGCACAGACTTTCTTCTAATGCATGCTGTTTACACCTTCCATGTTTTGCTCTCTTACCAGGCAGACTGGTGTGGGGTTGTGTTCAATGTCATCCAGAGTGGGTGGCATCATCTCCCCTCTGATTAGTCTCTTGGACAAGTACCATCCCGCTATTCCCATGGCGATATTTGGAAGCACTCCAGTGACTGCAGGAATCCTCTGCTTCTTGCTTCCAGAGACACGTGGCAAAGAGCTTCAGGATCACACGGAGGAAGCTAAGGAGAGCCAGTGGTGAGTCCTCAGAACATGTCTGCAGATGTTTAGATGTCCCTCATCTTTTCACCCATGGCTAAATGGCACTGGTGGGGTCTGTTGCTTCCCTCTTCGATGCTCTTCAAGGCAGCATTGAGGCCTGACTTGTAGCTCATGAAAAGCGATGCACAAAGTGTTTGAGCATTGAGGTGAAACAAGGAGCTGTCCCCAACTGAGCTGCCAGCTCTTTCAGACCCATCAGTGAATGAAATGCACAACTCACCCACCTCCCACCTGCACTGTCAGTACTCATCAAGCCGATGGCTTGACAGGATCTAATTCTGAAAGGAAGAGACTAAGCAATCTGACTGGGGGGGGTGAGAGAGGGAGTCAGGTGTGTGGAAAATGTGGGGACTAGCCACTAGGGAAATACAAGTCCCCAGCTGCTTAACTTCCTAGGTTTTGGAGGAACCCCTGGGGCCCCAGTGCCAGAATCTGACTGGGACTTTTGCTTGAAGCAAGTCTTGATCTACCCTGTCAGGAATCTACCCCGATTCTGTCATGTTCTTCTGTACCAGATATGGACTGGTCACAGAGCTTCCTCATACATACCAGATGTGTTCATCATAAGATTTATTAATGCTCTGCCAGGTATGGCTAAGGTTAACTTTGAATAAGGTATTTTGCACACAGTGCCACCTAGTGGCTGAACAGCATTCCATTACATCTCCCCCTTTTAGTTCTACATTTCTATCATTTACAAAATATAGTAAAAGCTTTGTTATCCGACACGTTGGAGGTATGGGGCGGGGGTGCTGGTTAGTCAAAAATTCCGGTTGACTAAGAGTTATACTTACTAATGGAATACCAATTTTCAGAGAATTAGAATACAATAAAATGAATAAAGTATAAAATGGTAGACAGGTACGCGCCAATCCAGTAGTAGTACTGCACTGCAGAGTGGTTGGTTTCTTGAAGCACTTAGGTGTACACAGGTTATCTTATGACACTACATATCACTATGGGCAGCGCATGGCGTACACCCAGATCACTAAACGTACACTTAACACTACAACTATATTGAACGTAATTTAATCTTTGATGATTCAGAAGGCACTTCAGATTCTTGCAGTGTCTCCGGGTCATCATTATCAACATCAATTATCATTGTAGATGTAGAAGGTGTAGTAGATTGGGCTGAATCGGTAACGACCCTATGACACACCCTGGAAGCTGCTTTTTTGAATAAATCCCTGATATCCGCTTGCTTACTTGTCTTTTGCCTAAAAATAGAGTTCAGAATGTGCAATTGCATAACCTCCTGGGCAGTATACTAGTCCCAGTTACTAGACTGAAGATTTGTATTGGGAGATATCAGAAATGCTGGTTAATAGAGCTTTCCGGTTGATAAAGTGCCAGATAACAGCTTTTACTGTATACACTTTCACACTGTCTTTGAAGTTCAGTGTCTCTGAATTGTACTGGTTTTCTAATTACATGATCCAAATGCGTAACAACTTGGTCATCTGATTGTCCATTAGTTGCAATGACTGGCTGTGGTTGGTCTGGAATTTGAGTCATTATCGCCTTGTTCTGCATCCACAATCTGTAGAGTTTTTGCTGTGTTGATTGATCTTCCTGAAGAATAATTTGTAGTCGTTGACAGTTTCTGTTGAACTCTCCACTGTCAGTCTCAATCACATATGATCTGGGCACTGAATTCTTTTTCTTTACGCCAAATTGGAGATGTCCAATTTGACATGAACTCAGTCACTAGGTTCTAGACACCGTACTGCTGACCAGGATGTGGGCAGTCACGCCTAGTGCTGAAAGCAAGAGTTCAGCCTACTGGTTGGATCTGGATCCAGAGTGGGTGGAATACAGGAAACAAGTCAAGGGGCAGAAGCCAAATGCCAGAGCTGGGAGAGGAGGGGAAGTAAACCAGAGTCATAAGCCAGAGGCGGAACCAGCAATTGGCACCAGAGTGACAGAAGCAGGGGCACTGGAACAGGGGGGACTAGGGGGCCATAGCCCTCCCACTTTTTACCTCCTGTAAGGGCGAGCGAAGGGGGGGAAGGGGCAGAGAGGAGTAAGCAGGGGGCGGGGTCTTGGGGGGAAGAGGCGGTGCGGGAGCGGGGCCTCGAGGGGAAGGGGCAGTGTAGGGGGGCCGGGACCACGGTTTGGATGCCAGTGGCTCCCCCATTTTTAGGGACCTTCTGCCATTCCTGGACAGAAGCCAAATGCCAGAACCACAGGATCAACCAGAGTTGTGAGCCAGAGGCAGATCTGGGGGTTAAAGCCAGATGTCTGAAGCCAGAGGGAAGCAGGGGCTGGAACAGAGCTGGAGCAGGACTGAAACGAGCAGGAACTGGAAGCAGGCTGAAACAAGGACTGGAACAAGGGCAAGCACAGCTCTGGGCATGGTATGTGTTGAGCAGCAGCTGAGGTGCTGTGGGGGCCAGGCTTATAAGCAGCACTGCTCAACCAACAGCCAATCAGGGGCTATTGCCCCTGAGTCCTAAGGCAATGTAGCTGGGCTCGTTGGTTGCCTAGTAGCACAGTTAGTCAGGGAGCAGGCCAGCAGTTGTTCCTAGCTGGTCTGGTCTCTGACAGCACCCTCCTCCCTTCAGGGTTGCCTCCCAGGAGACCCTGGGCCAGATTTCATGGGGTAGGCCCAGTGGAAGGTGCACAGGAAGTCCAGGGCCTGGATGTGTTCCACAGGTTAATATAAAAATAAATAATAATAAAACATGAAAACTCCTCTGGGCCTTCCAGTCAGATATTAGAGTCATCCCTGGACTTGGCAGGAGTCCAGAATCTGCTGGACCATGTATTCCTCTTGGCCCTGTATGGCTATCAGTGGAGGGGAAGGAGTAGTGCATTGTGGGAAGGGATTCTTGATGAAAAGTTTCAGGAGGGAGATGTGGAACATGGGTAGATCTCAAGGGGTTCTGGCAGCTGAAATCAAAAGGTTACCTAGTTAAGATGTTCAATAATTGAAAATGGCCCCAAGTATTTATGGTCCAGTTTCGCAAATGGATCTCAGGTTTTGCCAAATCTTATCCCCTACCTTGAGATTAGAGGTCAGCTGATGGTGTTGGTTGGTGTGGCACTTGTACGCTGGCCTAGTCTCTTTTAATCAGTGCCTGAATTCTTCATGTACTTGGTGGATGTGTGCGGTGAGGTCAGCAGTGATGGGCATTGGCAAGTCAAGGGGGATTTCGGGGTGATACTGAGAATGGAACCCATAATTTGCAAATAAAGTGGTCTGCTGGGTCGTGGCATGCGTGGGGTGTGCAGCTGAGGGATGGGAGGCCGGGGCGTTCTCTGGGCTCAAGGGGCTGTGCCATGTTCATGGTGTCTCTCAGCAAGGCGGTCATCAATTCTGATACATAGGTCGATCAGGTCATCGAGATGGGAGGGGGGCTTGACCTGTGCTGGTTTGTCCGTTATGTCATCATTTAATCCAAAACTGATGACGCAGCAAGGAGTCATTCCACACAGTGTCCATGGAGAGGCAACGGAATTCGGCTGCGTATTGGGCAGCTGAGTGACACTCTTGCTGTAGTGTTTGCAGCATGGCTTCAGTGGTTTGGGTGTGGTGGGGGAGTCACTGAAGATAGGCAACGTGGCCTAAATGAACTGCTCCAACTGGCCCAGGATGGGGCTGGACTGTTCCATGGGTGGGGAGGCCTAGGCTATGGCCTCCCCAGTGAGCAGACTAGTGATGAGCCCTTATCTGTGGGAACCAATTAGGGCTGAAGCAAGAAGAGGAGCCAGCATTGGTTTGGCAAACCTCAGAATTGACCATGATCGCCACTAAATTTGTCTGGGAGCAGGATCTTTGGCTCCTGGGGGGCAAGAGCTGGGCTTGCCGGTGAAGCCGCCTGGGCTTGTAAGGTGGACACCTGTGACAGCAAGCTCTGTATGGCCCCTACCAGATCTGTCAGGAAAGTGTTGGTCCATGACAGTGAGATGGGTCCCTAGCCTTTGCACTGGGCTGCTTAAACTGTTGCCGATTGGGCCATCATGCCTAGTGCTGAAAATGAGAGTTCGGTGGCCTACCTGTTGGAGCTGGGTCCAGGGTGGGAAGAGTCCAGGAAACAAGCCTATGGTCAGTACTGGATGGACAGAATCCAAATGCCAGAGCCAGGGGCAGGGGGGTAAACAGGAGTTGTAAGCAAGAGATGAATCTAGGGATCATTACTGGATAAATGGAAGCTGAATGCCAGAGTCAGAGGGCCAACCAGAGTTGTAAGCCAGAGGCAGAGCTGGGGGTCAAAGCCAGAGGGGAGCAGAAGCTGGAGCAGAACTGGAACAAGGGCTGGAACAAGAAGAAGCAGAGACTGGAAGCAGGCTGAAGCAAGGACTGGAACAAGGGCAAGCGCCGCTGTGGGCATGCTATGCACTGAGCACATGCAGATCTGCTGTGGAGTCAAGCTGATAAGCAGGACTGCTCAACCAAGAACCAATCGGGGCTGTGGCCACTGAGTTCGAAGGCAGTTCCGCTGGGCTCCTTCATTGCCTAGCAGGACAGTTAGCAGGTTCTGGTCCCTGATACCTGGCAGTTCTCTAACAGAGTGATATCTGTTGTAAAAATGTCTCTAGACTCTTTCTGTCTTTGTATCCAGTTTGGCTACTCTCTTCACGTCTGGCTATTTTAGAGAGAGATTCTTTTCCAAACTTAGAACAGCGGTTCTGAGTTGTCTTCCCATCAGGAGATGTGCTGGACTATACGCAGTAGCTTGGTGTTGATCTGTAACTCAGAAGAGCAAGGAATGGGTCTGGAATTTATGCCTCGGCCTGGGAGTTCTCTCTCCTTGCCTCAGGGGTCTTACGGTAATAGCTTTTAGCGCTCATGCTGCATCTGTTAACAGCTTCTAAGCTAGTTTCTTGTTTTTCAAGTTGGGCAAATTGCTCTTGGGTTTTGCTGTCTCACCAGCTCAGATTGCTATTTGAATAGGTGTGGCAAGGGTTAAATTTCTCTTCACTTGTACTTGCTGTGAAAGGTTTTATCTGTTAACCCAGTAACCAGCCTCTGTCTGATGTTTTGCAGTCCCCAAATCACAGTTTTCAGCCAATGTATGCAGAGAGCTCCTGTTTTTTGTGCATGTGGTTTATTTATTTATTTATTTAAACCAACATTTTCTCCTGGATCTTGAATTCTCTGGTGGAAATGTGCTCTTTCATAAACTAGATTTCTCTGAGGTATAAAGTATACATCAAACATAGCCAGAATCCTTTCTTAGTCATCTTTGTGACTATCTTCAGTAAAGTCAAAGGATTTAAAGATATGCTGTGTACTTCTCCATTGCATAAATTAAAGAAGATACCTGTATATCTCCAGTTTCTTTGCTGAGCTCGGTAACAACACAAAATATTGTTTCCAGTCAAAGACTGTGAATGGCTATCCAACTACAGAAGCAGTTTCTCCTCCCTTGGTGTTCACACCTCAACTGCTAGCAGAGCACCTCACCCTCCCTGACTGAACTAACCTCGTTATCTCCATACTGATTTATACCTGCCTCTGGAAATTTCCATTACTTGCATCTGAAGAAGTGAGCATAAGCTTTCTTACCCACGAAAGCTTATGCTCTCAATACTTCTGTTAGTCTTAAAGGTGCCACAGGATCCTCTGTTGCTTTTTACAGATTCAGACTAACACGGCTACCCCTCTGATCCTTGTTTCCAGTTTGTCCATTCTGAAGGTTTGTCAAAGCTGAGGTCCTCTGAGGCATTGAAGAGTGGCATGCTGATGAGGTCCTGCAACCTTTGTTGCTGTTTTCCTTCCTGTTTCTGTTTTAGTTTACTCCTGACACCATGTCACATTCTTCTGTACCAGATATAGACGATCACAGAGCTTGCTTGTACACAGCAGAGGTGTTTATTATAAGATCCTTTAATACTCTGCCAGCTTCAAATAAGGTCTTTCACACACAGCGCCGTGTGTGTTATGCTGTGGCCGAACAGTATAACACCGTTAAGCATTCCATTACTCATTCCTTCCTTTAACTGCACGATTGGTCCTGGAACTAGAGGGGGATGCAATATGCATCAGCAACTGCTATGGAGACTAAAGCAACTCCTGTGTCAGGAAGCAGGGGCAGCAGCCTGGTCAAGTGGGATGTGAGCATGAGGCTTCCTGTTACTGAGCAGAGCACTGTCTTCTGATGCTGGTAAGAGGGGTTGAGAAGGTGGAGGGGGAGCTGTAATTTTGTTCAGGGAAAGAAGAAGGGGCTGGGAGGAGCGGAAAAAGTATATGTGCTCTCAGTGGTTCAAGGTCAGGCAGGCTCACTCATCAGCCACGGGGCAAGTGGGATTTGTTCCTGCAGAGTGCTTGGGACGAGTGGAATAGGAGCCGGGCTATGGGCTTGTCTACATGTGGAAATTGACCGGAATAGCTATTTCAGAAAGGCTCCTTGTGTAGAGACTCTGTTCCAGAATAGCATACAGGTCTGTCGCATCTTACGCGCATTTAACATGCGCGATTTTAACTTTACGTGGTCAGCAAAAACAAAAACAAAAAAGAGAAAAACAACAGTTTTAATACTATACCTGTAGTGTGGGCGATTTCGCCCGCCATTGAACTCAATGGGGTTTTGGCTATACGCGGTTTTCGCTTTACGCGCTAACCGCGGAACGGAACCCCCGCGTAAGATGAGACAGACCTGTACTGATTATTCTGGAATAAAAGTGGCTTTTATTCTGCTGTCCAGTATCCATTTTATTCCAGGCATTCTGGTCAATTTCCCCGAAGACTTGAGATTAAACGCCGCTGTGTTTGGTGCTTCATTTTTGTCCGTGAAACTATAGCCGGTTGTACGATGACTGGCAGAAATGTTCAGCAGCTTCCATTAGCTCCTCCCCCCCTCCCCAGGAGAAAGCTCTCTGCCACCCAGTCACGTCCCTCCTCTTTATACAGCCACTCCCTGCCAGCTCCCCAGTCCATTAATCAGAGAGAATCCCACCTCTTTCTTTTTGTAGCACCCTCAGGAGCTGGTGTCCCTGAGTTGGCGCCATAATCAGGAGCGGCACCAGGGTTTTTGCTGCCCTAGGCGGCAGCGCTCCTCCTCAGAGCATTCGGTGGCAGGGGTCCTTCCACTCCGCGTCTTCGGGGCGCTTCGGCAGCGGGTCCCGGAGCGAGTGAAGGACCCGCCGCCGCAGTGCGCCGAATTGCCGTCGAGGACAGCAAAATGCCGCCCCCCAAATCCTGCTGCCCTAGGCGACTGCCTAGTGGAAGCGCTGGCCCTGGCCATAATCTGGTCAGAGAGGAGAAGTATCATTATCCTCATGTTCTAAATGTTAAATGATTTGCCCAAGGCTACACAGCAAGCCAGTGGCAAAGCTGGAAAAGCTGTTGTAATATTGAAAAGAGTCCTTCTGCTGTATTTAACCATATTCCTTTTCATTAGGGCCAGTGAAAATGGACACTTGAAACTAAAAGATGGCGACCGAGATGTAGGACACACAAGGGTCACGTGCGTTTAGCTGAGCCAGCGAACAGCCATAAGATCCTGAGGAATCAAAGACCACGTAGTGTTGTACTGGGAATGAGGTCTGCAAGCCAGCAATGGATTCAGCTTGGTTTTTTATTTACAGTAATTCCTGGAGCAGAATAGTCCTCTGCCAGCTCTTGTTCTCCTCTTTCCCGTTTGCCTTCCCCATGTGCTCTCTCTTAGCATTCCCCAGTAAGTCCCATGGGCCATCCTGATTATCACTACAAAAGTTTTTTTTCTCCTGCTGATAATAGCCCACCTTAATTGATTAGTCTCGTTAGAGTTGGTATGGCAACACCCATTTTTTCATGTTCTCTGTGTGTATATATATCTTCCTACTGTATTTTCCACTGCATGCATCCGATGAAGTGGGTTTTAGCCCACGAAAGCTTATGTCCAAATAAATGTGTGTGTTAGTCTTCAAGGTGCCACAAGTACTCCTCGTTCTTTTTGCTTTCCCAAGTCTGAGTTTTATTCACCTGCACTCAGCAGGGGCACAACAATGGGAGGGCAAGAAGCCCAGCCCCGCCCCCCCCTTGGCCCCTGACTGGAGCAGGGTGGCGTAATGGCAGAGCCCCTTCTCTGCTGGCATAACGGAGGGGCAGCTGGTCCAAAGCTGAGTGAGTGGCATTGCAGCCTGGTGCATGGGGTCAGAACACCAGTCACGTTTAAAAGTCAGGGGTTTTTTAGCCTACCATTTCACTTGCATTTTGATTTGAGTGGTTTGCTTGGTGTCCCCTGAAGAAATGTATTTGCAACACTAGGTGACCATGTCCTTTTCGCTATTATAAGAGGCAGGGGGCAGGTCCAAATAAAAAAAAAATGCTAAGACGGGTTATGATTCAGAGCAGGTTCAGAACTCCGGTAGTAAGTGTTTTCAACTCTAATTCTCTTCTTACTTTGTACTCGCATAAAACCCTGCTGCTTTTATCTAGCTCTCAGTTACCCGTGGGGAGAAAAATCTCATCAGGTTTTTGCTGCAGAATGGCAAGCCATCAGCCAACATAGCTAATGGGGAGCAATCATCCTTCAGGTGTCACTTGCTTGGCTGTCGACATGAAAACCTGTGGGGAATCCTTTGAGTTCTGGGGGGTCTGTTTGGAAGCAGGTTTTCACTTTGTAGGGAAGCACCTTATTTAATTTGCCCGACCACGGAGATTGTTGAACCTCATGGAGTTTGAGATCTCTCAAGAGAAAATGCTATACAGACTATATCCTGCTCTGGTGATGATCTGGGAGATGGTCTGTTCCCTTTCTTATGCCGCACCCATCACTATGATTTCTAATTGCTTGTGATCATCGTTTGCCATTTCCTATGAAGGGAAACCTGTCCTTTCCCTACACTAGTGCGTCCTCACAGGCCACCTTGTTATGCAGATAACTTGCTAGGGATGCAGGCATAGGGCAGAGGCAGTGCAGCTCTGAGGATATTTGTTTGCAGCACAACTGGTGCATAGGACTTGCAAGAAGACTTCATCTTCCTCCCTCATACTGTCTGCAAAACCACTAAAGATGGGACTGTTTCGGGAGACGTGCAGCGCAGTTAAAGCAGAATGAAAGCGTTTTTACTGTGAGGAGTTTCCTGCTTATTCTGTGGATAAAATCACTCAGAGGTAGGAGCAGAACCACACCACGAGGAATAAGTATCACATCTGCTCACTGAGATTCTGGCTCTCTTAGGTTTCCTCTCACCTACAGATGGGGCCTGTGCCCCTCATAGCCAGTAAAATCTAGTGGGGAGGTCCTGGGTCCCTTGTTGGTGAGAGTGCTGGTGTGTTCCCGTTCCTTGGGAGCTGTATTGACAACTTCCCTTAAGCCAATGGTTGTCTGATCTCCAGGTGATGGTGTAAGGCTCTTCTCTTCATTCAGGCTTTTGTGTGAGAAGGTGAGCCCAGGGACGAAGGCAGGGGAGGGATAAGGGGTTGGAGATGGAGCAGAATCTGTGTACCGTTAATGAGATGCGGCTCTCCTCCTTTTTCAACATCTGGTACAAACTTCTTGGCTTAAACTCTGTTTATAAATAAAAACCTCCAGGTGTGCTGGCTGTATTGTTCCTTCCTTCTTACCAATAGTTTTGTACCATATAAACTCTGGCAATTATTTGCTGCAGTGTAAAGGCGGCAATTGAGGATTACAAACAGTGGCAGAAATGTCTGTACCCGTGCCTGTAGCAGCAGATGCTGGACTTCACATCTGCTAAAGTTGGCCTTGTGTAATGGGGGCTTGGGAATTTGGGGGTGGGGGTGGGTTTGGGAGTCATGTACACTGGGAGTGTTTCACTAGCCCAAAATAGTGTATTAAGAGTCTGAGCCAGAGTTGTTATTTTTCTAGAATCATAGGTCTGGAAGGAATCTCAACAGGTCATCTAGTCCAGTCCCCTGCACTCAAGGCCGGACTAAGTATTATCTTGAGCACCCCTGACAGGTGTTTGTCTAACCCTGCCCTTAAAAATCTCCAATGATGGAGATTCCACAACCTCCCTGGGCAATTTATTCCAGTGCTTAATCAGTCTGACAGTTAGGAAGTTTTCCTAAGTAGCAATAAGTTACCGGGCCCCATTGTGCTAGGTGCTGTACAGACACATAACAGGCAGTTCCTGCCCTGAAGACCCTATAGAGGAGACAGAGAATGGGCAGGGGAAAGAGCATATTTATCTTCATTCTACAGAAGGGGAAATGCCGTGCAGCGGGTGAGGTGACTAGCCCAAGGTCGCACAGGCACAGTGTGGCAGAGTGGGCAATGAGCCAGTCTAACCCCTGCCCCTCAGGAGGACTGGAGGTTCGTTTCAGGTGCTCACCCACACGTCTCTCCACCTGTTTCGTTTGGAAATCACATGACCTTTACAGCCCATTGTGGTTTTGACTAGACCCGGCACAGCTGTTCTCAGGCTGTGTTCCCCAGCCCAGCTGGGATAAGAGGGTTCATGTGGAGAAAGGAGTGTTGAAATCTGTGTAGCCCCCCTCCTCTGAGGTGTGGCTTAAGCCTCCTCCCTTTTCTCTCCCAGCTACTTGGGATCCCCCGTACTTGGAGTGGCTTCTCCCCACTCCTTTGTGCAGGTCGGGACCTGTTTAGCTTTGTTGTTCTTGGCGCCTAGTGTCTTCGTTCAAGGTGACTCCTCACTCTGCCGCATACCCGGGAGTGATGTCCCTTGAGACATCCAGGGTCATACTGCAAGCTGGCCTGGAGTGCAAAGCCCAGTGCAAAGTGGAGAAACAGTAAATGCAACAAACTGCAGCAAAGGAATGCTACACCAAATTGAACAGCAAAACAGAGGGTGGGGGCTTTACTGGGAACAGAAAACTCAGATCTGGGGAAGGAAAGGATTAATCATTACTAAACATTTTATAAATAACCCAATTCTCCACCTCCTAACACCAGCTTCCTCCCTGGCACCTCCCCGAGGTGGATGGCAACTCCTCCGGGACTCAATCCCCCAGTGGCAGCACCTAGGCTCCCAACCCATCCTGCTTTGGCCTCCTGCACAGTTAGGAGGGACGCCTTCTTTGTCAGGCTGGCCCTTCCTCTGTTAACTTGCTGAGGGCTGTGCAGCCCTGGGTTGTCGTTGTCCAGTGGACTGCTTGTCCAGATCACCCCATGCATAAAAACTCACTGGTCCCAGTGGCAGCTCCTAGTTTTGTCTGTTTCAACCCTGACTCCAAGTATGCTGGGAGTGGGGTCCGCGGGCTTTGACAGCTATCTTCTAAAGGCTCAGTCCAGAGCTCCAGGACCTGGCAACCTCCATAGGGGGAGGGAGGTGGGTTACACCTGAAACAAATCCATGGCAATCAAAGATGTGACATTTATTGTTAAGTTGCACAGTGTGGCCCTGCTGAAGGTCACAGCAGCAGCAGGGGATAGAACTTCTCTCGAGAAGCACAGGACCCCCGCACTTTAGAAAAAGGAAGATCACTATTAGCAGTATATAGGGCCTATTGCACAGAACGGAGTATCTAGTAGAGGGGAGCAATGCATGCATATACAGGAACGCACCCACACAGGGAGAATCTTGTGGGACTCCCGCTGAGA